TATATATATATATATATATATATATAATTTACATAAGAACAAACACATATAGATATATTTGTATAGAAACATACTCTTTGCAAATTTATTCTTTCTAGTAAACACTCATTGCTTTGTATTTGTTGTATAACGCCTAAGTAAGATAAACACAATATTTGTGTAACTTTCATGACCATTGTTATAAGGTTGAGTTTGGAGAGACTTGTTTGTAAAAAAAAGTTGTTTTGGATCTGAAGAGGATTGTCTATAAAAAAAATATTTATTTTGAGCTTAGAGAAACTTAAATGTAAAAGAATACTTGGTTGTTAAGCCTGAAGATGTTTGTTATTAAAAGAATATTTAGATAGTTACTTGAATAGGCAAGTCAAAGAATACTTAGGGTTGAGTCAAAAATGGATTATTGAAAGAATATACTTGTATTTTTGTTTAAAGATTGTGAAACTCAATTCGATTAGATTGAGAACTGGACATAGTCTCGATGATTGAAACAAACCAATATAAAAATAATCGGTGTTTCATTTGACTTTTCTTCATGTTTCATTTGATTATCGTTACTATTTCATTAAAAAAATACAAGTTTTTGTTAAACATTATTCAATCCCCTTTTAATGTTAATCTTTTTCACATAATTATATTTTAACAATTTTTTAATGTTTATAACTCATTTGGATTCAAATGTCAATTCAATTTTATAATTTTCATATAGGTAAATCTAATGTTACAAATTTCATGTCTTAAATTAATAAAAAAAATTATTCAGAATAATGTTACAAAATTAAAAATAATAATTGTTTGAAAAGAAACAAATCAATCCAAATATAAAAGATAAATTATCAAAATAAATATTTTAATAAATAAAAATGAAATAAAACTCTAAAAAAAACTGTCCTTTGGTCATCACTTTCTTTGACATGAAACAGCCGGACAAATGGTTTATATTGACGTTTTATTATTAACAACAGATTGATGTTTATTAGTCCCACCCAGATTGTTTTTGACACTTTTCAGGGCCTTTTTGGAATGCTATCTTTATGCTGTATTTGCTACTTTATTTCTAGTGTTTTATCTTTATTTCGCTGTCAAATGGAATAGGAAAATAATTTATCATTATTATATTAAAAAATCAAAAGAATATTACTCATCCTTCCAATAATATGTATAACTTTAATTAAATATTATTCAATTTATCTAAAATATTATTTGTTTTTATATTCCATGTCATATTTTATCTTTGAAACGTTGTCTTGATGAATTAAGAAAAGAAAATGTTTAACTATTTATTTGTTTTTATTGGTCTTGATTCTTAAATAGAGCTGTCAAAACGGGCTACCCGGCTCGGCCCGGCCCGGCCCACCACGAGTTGGTGGGTTAAATGGGTTGGCTCACCTTAAAAAAAAATAATTTTTTTTCATTTTTTTTTCTTAATATACAACTAAAGCCCAAAAATTTAAACTTATTTTAAAAATCTGAGATTCTTAATTAAGACATCCTTAAATGAATTATTCATCCCAAACATTAAATAATAATTTTAAATACAATCAAATCAAATCTAAATAATCTCAAATAGATAAATATAATCCAAAATTATCTTAAACTTCAAATACAATCCAAAATCACAAAAATTACATATCACAATCTAACATTAAATTATTATTGTCTCATGTTGGACTGCATAATGACCCAATAATTATTGTATTTTTTCAAAAAAAAAAATTAATCACGGGTTGGTGGTGAGCCGGGTTCAAATTTGACCCGTATTAAAATTTTCAAAATTTTTTTAACCCAACCCGGCTCGAACCCGTGGTGAGCCGGGTTGGCTCGCCGGGCCAAGCCCATTTTGACAGCTCTATTCTTAAATAATACGAAATGTCAATTATAAGATAGATTATAACATACCATATTTTAAATAAATATAGTGACTCTAATAATGTCAATAATAATATTAATGTTGTTTATAAAAAGCAAAAGATAAATATAGATGATTACCGTTAAACAAGGATAATTTTATCGTCAAATTTTTATGATGAAAATATTCTAATTATGATTAAATTTGTAGTTAATGGGCCTAAAATTAAACAAAAATAAATGTTTCACTTTAATTAAAATTTCATGGAATTTTTTTTAATTATATTGGTGATATTAAATTTCAAATATAAGACTCTAGCATATTGTCTCAAATCACACCACCAGATTGATTCAAAATTTCATAGAATTTAATCATACATTTGTGTAAAGTATGATACTCAAACTACTGAAAAGTAAAAAATATGACGAATAAATTGAGAAAGTGTAAAACTACAAAGGAATAATAAAGTGTAACTTACCCAAAAAGTACACACTTTAAAATAGTGAAATATAACTTATATTCTATTTGCAAATATATTAATTTGGTGTAGTTAGTGCGCTACTTTCTCAAAAGGAAAATAATACACACAAGTAAACAAAATAAATTAATTCGTTAAATGATTTGTTATAATTAATATGACAAAAAGTTATATTAAAAGAAAACACGTACTATTAATAATGACATGCCTTAAAAATAATAATTTTATTAGAATCTCTTATCAATATTAAATTGAAATTTATTTTTGTAGCAAATGCTGTTATTGGATTATCATTTTTTTTCATACAACCAGACACAGGCAACAAAATGAAATTAAGTTAGAACAACAGGTGACAACTGATTTATCTACTCGGAACTGAAGGAATCTCTCACATGTAAAATTCTCTTCAATTCACTGTCATCATTCAATACCATAACCCAACAAAAAACACTAAATTGAAGTCATTGTCAAAGCTCTATTTCCTCGAATCCAATGAATGATTACATGGTGTGAAGACGATTTATTTGATAAAAAAAATTTGTTTAATTTTTATTATATACAAAAACTTATTGATTTAATGACAGTTATAATACTAAATCTTTACAAATGTGTGAGAATAATAAATTTAAGTCTTTTTGTTTTTAATCATTCCAATTCTATTAATCACTAGACTGATCTTAATAATTTTTTTTGTTATTACACTTGGCTTTAAATATAACCATGTTAAATTGCAATTTCTGGCCTTATTCATGAACCTTCATTTGGTCACATAAGGTCTGCATGGGCACATGTCTACGGACATTGACAAAGGATTTTAATGGCATACCAAAGAAGATGAAGCAAAACACAGGCCAATTTAATGAGATAGACCTTCGAGGGAAAATCTAGACTGCAAGGCCATAATAGCAGGAATGCTTCAAGTTCTTTTCAA